CACCTGGCTCTCCAACACACGCTCTTTGATTCAGCACCACTGGCCTCCCGGCTGTTCCGTTTACAAGACACTCCATCTCTCGACTCTGGGCATTCTCTCTGGCTGTCCCCGCCTTCCACTCCACGTGGTCATGTGAACTATTTGTGCCCGAACTGTGGTAGAGCCTTCCTAGCTCATAGTGATCTGATCAGCCACCGTGGGACACGCTGTACCTTGACTCCAGCGCAGCGACGTCGTTTTGGTCCTCTCTGAGCACAGAAGACGACAGGCAACCAGCCAGGCCCGGAGTGCTCTCCTTTTTCTGCTTTGTCTGCTGACCTCCCTGGCTCCCTTTAAGTCTCAACTAAAATCTCATTTTCTACAAGAAACCTTCCCTGACTCCTCTTAATTCCAGTGCCTTTCCTCCACTAATTATCTCTGTTTTTCACGGGTGTGTGTGTATACACATACGCACACGCGCACATACACACATGCTTGCATATATGTATCAGTATAGCTTGTTTGTACATAGCTGTTTTTTGTTTTTTCCTTTTTGCTGAGGCAGTCGGGGCTAAGTGACTTGCCCAGGTCCCACAGCTAGTGAGTGTCAAGTGTCTGAGGTCTGATTTGAACTCAGGTCCTTCTGACTCCAAGGCTGGAGCTCTATCCACTGCGCCACCTCGCTGCCCCATTTTGTACATATTTGTTTGCGTGTTGTCTCCTTCCATTAGACTGTAAGCTAGCTGAGGGCAGGGGCTGCCTCTTGTCTCTTTTTCTATCCGGCATTTAGCACAGAGCCTGGTGTACACAGTAGCACATAGCAAATGTTTATTGACTGACTTAACTGAAGGCATGATTTTAGTTATATTGTCTCCTTGACCCTAAACCTGTAATTACTGCCCATTACCTACCATTTTGTGGTTACTCAAAGCTCCTCTTTGTTACCTTCCAAGATTGGTGGAGCGATTCACTTTTTGCCTTAATTTCACCTACTTTGCTGATTAGACTATTGCTATAGCTTTTTTTTTTTTTTTAGGCAGTTGGGGTTAAGTGACTTGCCCAGGGTCACACAGCTAGTAAATGTCAAGTGTTTGGTCTGAGGCCGGATTTGAACTCAGGTCCTTCTGACTTCAGGGCCGGTGCTCTATCCACTGTGCCACCTAGGTGCCCCAGCTATAGCTTTCTAATTAGTTCCCCTGCCTCCCGTTTTTTTTTATCCACCCTTCCTATGGCTGTCAAAATAAATCATAAGAGGTAAGCCTTGCCTTTGCCATCTTCCTTACTCCCCATTCCCCCGCTTCCACCCCCCATCTGCACATAGCCTTCTCTTCAATTATCCAGTGCCCTGAATTTTCCACTAGGGGGCCGGGCTCCAAAGAAAGTTCTGCATTTTAAAGTTAACAGATTTCCGGGGGCAACTAGGTGCCTCAGTGGATAGAGCCCTGGTCCTAAAGTCAGGAGGACCTGAGTTCAAATGCGGCCTCAGACCAAACACTTGACACTTAATAGCTGTGTGACCCTGGGCAAGTCACTTAACCCCAATTGCCTAAAAATGAAAATAAAAATAAATAATAATTAAAGTTTACAGATTTCCTCTTCCCACAATTGAAATTCTCTCAGCTTGTCTAACCAGTAGTTAGTTACTAGGACAAAGTCATCTTTTTTAAGACTTGGGTCTGATTGTGGTAATCTGCCACGCCTTGTAGCTCCTTAGATAATATACAGTCCTTAGTCTGATATTTAGGCATTTCTACATTCTGTCATTTGACCTTTTAAACCTGTTTTTCCTATTCCATATTTTAGCTAGACCGTTAGCTGTCCCCAAATTCTACCCTAAGCTCAGGAAAACAGAAGGACACTGCCTCTTCTCCTTCTCCAAATAGGTTGATGCTTACGTGCGTGACATGTAGTATGAGTACTGCTAGTGGTTTGGCTGCACTCCAGGTAAGACAGCTATGTCAGAGTGATTTGGGAACCTCACCACCCCTGACTACACTGTTTCAGTGAGAAAACTTGCTCTAATTCATGAGCAGCCCGTTCACAAAGGAACTTTTAGAATGCACCAACAGCCTCTGTACGTTTCTGTGCAATAATGCTTTGCATTTACAAAGGGTTTATGTCTACTAGCTTGTGCCTTGCATTGGCCCTCTCGAGGGGTCATGTTTTTCTTCACTTTACAGTGGGGATGGAGAAGTCCCAGTGCCTCTGAGACTCAGTTTCCTTATTTGACTTTCCTAAGTTCAAGCAGGTGGCAGAGTTAGGGCTGGCTCTCATGTCTTCGCACCTTGCTGAGAAAACGGGGTCTTCACCACGATGCTCTTTGGCCATCTTCATGCCATCTTCCCTTCCCCCACCCTTATTGCATCTTTAGCTCTGGGAGCAGTAGCTCAATACTACTATTCCTGGAAAGGACAGAGTAGTCATTTGCTGTCTGGCTCCATTCACCAGCCTTGTGAATTCCTTGACCAAACATTCCTTCCCTTTCTGGCCCCAACCTCCTATATATATATTATCTTCCCCTACCAGAATGTAAGCTTCTTGAGGTCAAGGATTATTTTATGTCATGTATTTGTATCCCAATTATTTAGTTGTTTGTGGCACATCATAAATGCTGAAGAATTTTTTCTTATTCATTTGTTGTTTCATTCATTCATTCAATCTCCCTACAACTTTCAATTTTGAAAGCAGCAGCCTATGTAGAGATGCTTAAGCAGACCAGTAACTGTGTCTGCCCTTGGCCTTCTCTTTTCATTAGTATATAGAGCAAATGACCTCCTTCCCTGGGCTTGTCATATCAGGAAGAACCTTAGCTGTTCTTCACCTCATCATTTTTGCATTCTCCAGACTCCAACCACCTCTTCTTTGCTGGCCATGTTGCCCCCATGAAGGCACCCTTCCTACACCCCAGTATGTGTCACCTTCCCCATTAGAATGTCAATTCCTGTGTTGTGCACAGTGCCTGGTACATAGTACGCATTTAGTAAATACCCTGTTCATCTGTCTCTTCCCACCCATTCTTCCATATCTGTTGTCTGTTAATGAGAATTAATTCATTTATGTAACCATTTAAATTCAGAGTCATCTTCTTGCTTAATCCTCTTCTTCTTTCCCCTTAAAGAAGGTTTCTGGTTTCTGTACCTCATTTATTTTTTCCTATGGCTTAAATTCTCTCCACTTCAACGAAGATGACTTGTAGACCTCTAGGGAGAGTGACAGTCTCACTTTTCAGTTGGCTCTGGGGCACCTTCACTTGGTTGTCCTGCTGGCATGTCAGGCTCAAGCCCCAAACTGAAATTGCCTTTTCTCGCACTCCGTGTCCCAGCATCTTTTCCATCACTGGCACTGCTCTCCCATCTCCCACAGCCAGTCAGCCCTGAGGATTCTGCCTCCAGAGTGTCTTCAGCAATGACTCTCTTCTGTGATCCCTCTGTTTCCAAGAGGCCTTTCTGAAGAGTTTGATGCAAAGACTACTGAAGTTAGCGTGAAGACTAGCTCCTCCTGCTTCCTAGTCACGGGATTGTGGGACAATGATTGCCCCTCACTGAGCCTCAGTTTCTTCAAGTAGAAAATGTAGGGATTGGACCAGTTAATCAATCAATCAATCAGTCAATTAATTAATTAGATAATCTCTAGGGTACTTTCCGGCTCCAAATGCTATGATTCTCTGATTTCACCTAGACTGTTATAACAGTGTCTTATCCGTTAAATAAATAGTCTAATAAATCTACTAAATAAGCAGTATCTTTCTATTACAATAGTATCTTAACTGAACTTATTCTCTCCAGTTTCTCCCTTTACCAGCTCACCCTTTACGTTGCTGCCAAAATGCTTTTCCTCGTGCGCTGCTCCAGTTATGTCATTCTTCTGCTCAGAAGCCTTCGATGGCTCCCTGTTGTCTAATGAATATAGTATCAGTCCTTAATCCAGAATTCAGGGTGTCTCACAGTCTGCTTCTAATAAACTTTTCCAGCCTCACCTCATATTAGTCCTTGTCAAATTCTGTGTTCTAGGTGAAATAGACAGCTTACTGCCCCTGTTCTCTTCCCCCGTTTTCCTGTCTCTGTGACTTTTCTTCTTTTCTTCCTGTATCTGGTATGAACCCCTCCCTCTTCTTCTCTTTCTTTGAGGCCCATCTAACTCATGTGTTACTTTCTCTGAAACATTCCCCTTTCCTCCTCAGAAAGAGGTAAGACATTTCATTCTTACGTTGCCTGGGCCTTTCTCACTTAGTACATTTTCTTTTCCATCACATTGGCTTTTTTACATCTCTTTCCTCCGCCCCATTAGATTCTGTATTCTTGAGAGATCTGTGTAGTATATGGGTAGCTAGGGTCCCTGGTGCCTGTCACAGAACCGTTAAAATCCTGTGCTAAAACCTAGGTGCCTGGATGGTTTCAGTGGATTTGCCAGGGGATGTGCCTAGCAACAGCTTTTTCAATGATCTTGTAGCCTTCACATGAAGCTGTCAGTGTCTTTTGCAGCCATGCAGGCTGCGGGGTGCTTTTCACTTGTGGCTGAACGTGATTTTCATCCATTCCTGGCAGACGGCCAGCTTCTGAGTGTGCTGTTCCTGACTAGACCTGCTGGCGTGCGTGTGCAGTGCAAAACCAGGGTTTGGGGAGTTTAGGCTTGTGTACCTGATTGTTGTTGTTAGGTCTTTAGTTGTGTCTGACTCTTCATGACCCCATGTGGGGTTTTCTTGGCAGAAACACTAGAGTGGTTTGCCATTTCCTTGTGCAGCTGATTTTACAGAGGAGGAAACTGAGGCAAACCGGTTAAAGTGACTTGCCCAGGGTCATACAGCTAGTAAGTGTCTGAAGTCACATTTGAACTCAGGTCTTCCTGACTCCAGGCTTGGTGCTCTGTGCACCATGGCACCACCTAGCTGCCCCATCATGCTTGAATGGTTTCTCATTAATTTCAGTACATACTTTTTTCTTGTTTTTCCCTTCAACATCATTTATGTAGTGAAAAAAAAAAGTTTGTGCATTGCTAACTAAAATTTGTTTTTAAAAAAACAGATTTATACCTAAAACTGGAAGATGTGACGCATAAATTTAACAAGCCCTGTATAATGGATGTAAAAATAGGGCGGAAAAGCTATGATCCATTCGCCTCTTCTGAGAAGATTCAGCAGCAGGTCAGCAAGTACCCATTAATGGAAGAGATTGGGTTCTTGGTGCTTGGCATGAGGGTAAGACATATTTGTTGGATTCAGATTAACAGTCTAACACATTTCTGTTTCTCTTATTTATTTACCTCGTATTGACAGTGAAATTGCCAAAGTTTTGGTCATGAAAAGGAGCCTCCTTGGCATATTTGAGGAAAAAATGGAGAAAATATTTGACTAACTATGAACTCACAGTTCTGGAAGTGGCAGGAATTTAAAGGGAGGATATATCAATGCTTAAAGCTAAAATAAAATAAAATGGGTGAACTTGGTCTACGTTGTAATAAGTTAAGGACCTCATTATAAGAATCCTTTCATGTGGGTGTAGTGCTTCTAGGTTATAAATGCTGTTGAAAGAGGGCAGCATTGTATATAAAGGAACCCAAAATAGGAGTCACCATCTTTGTATCTGTGAGGAGAAGCCATGCTTTTTCTTCATGTGAAGCTGATGCCATGATTTCATTCCATCCTGAGCTGTGTTTTCTTAAAGACCTTTTTGAATCAGACTCGGATGTTCCCTGTGCTGAATTGGAGATGATAGCCCAGTCATACTGGTACCTGAAGATCAGATTGTAACTTCTAGCACTGCCTTCCCTTTAAGAAATTCCCACATGTCACCAAGCTATAGGCATCCCCCTACTTGTACACTGGCATTTCAAAAGCTGTGAGTCATAGGGGGAAGGTATTGCTGTCAATCACAGACCATGGTCAATCACAGTGTACACATTGGGTACTCCAGATATAAAGAAGAACTGTCTAAATATCAGACAAAAGGAATATGATGAAATGAATGTGGGCATACATTTCAAACTTTGTTAATAAAAAATACAAAGAATGTCCCACAGATAACAAATAGGATAGATTTTAGAAAGGTTTTCAAAGTGTAGTTTTGGAGTGGCTTCAGTGGAAAACAGTAGCAATGAATGGAATTTCAGTCGAACAAACCTCCAGGGATCAAATAGGTAAGTCTCATAAAGAGGCGAACAGACACTCGATTAAATGGAACTCTCACCAAGCTCTTCTGAAGACTGCCTTGTTTAGGGGGATGCCTATTGATTTGTGTTCTGCTCCATGTTTAAGTCTGAAACTTGGGTTTAGTTCAGGACTCCGTGAACTGTCGGAGCAGCCCCCCAGATTGTCAAGTCTGTTATTGGACTCTGCACCGTTGGTAACAAGATCTAGAACAGATTTTCCCTAACGTATCGGAGAGGAAGCCATGGCTTGGTCTCCGTTGAGGCTTATCTATCTCATACTGTTTGGTTATGTTTTTCTCCAGCATTTGCCAGCTTGTGTTTAACTTAATGCCAACTCCTAATGCCTGTTGTGTTGAGTTTAGTTATACAGAGTCTGTAACAGTAGAGGTAGATTTGGGGTGGAATTCTGTCTTTTGGATCTGATAGGAATTTGTAATAATGTGATTCTACTTTTATGTTAGAGACAGTTAACTTAAAGGTTGGTAATTCTCAGGTAGATCAGTAGCTAACAGTCTCCTCTTTTCAGTGATTCATAGAGACATCCCTGCTGCAAACCCCTACCATCTCATTGACGTATCATTGTCATGATCATTGACTTTGCCAGTGAGCTCGTGGGCTTCTTGGTACTAATGGATCTGTGGGATTTCAGCTGCAAGGAGTGAGTGAGGGCTAGCTGAGCAAAGAGGGGAGGGGAGATAAAGGGGACAGTGTGAACAAAGACATTGAAGTAGGGGGTGTCCACAGGGGATGGATGGCAGATGGTGCAGTTTATCTGAAACGTAGACTGGGTCTATCCAAAGTGTAATTGCAGCAAACTAAGATTATGATGCTGAAGTGATTTCAAACAACCTATTTCTACTTACGGTGGCAAAAACATTCTTTTGACTGGGGAATAACTATGGAAAATCTCAGATAAAATGATTGATTCTAAATAGCCCTCACTGGTTAAATTTGTATATGTAGCTCTATGGATTATAAACGACATCCAGTATTCCCAAATGTATATATTTAGAAAATAATGATTTGTCCTTCATAAGAGGCTGTTTTCACAACGTATTAATGAATGAATATTCTCATTTCTTTGTCTTTGTAGCCTCCTCACTTAGCCCTCCTTGTATGTGTCACATGGTAAATAAATACATAATAAATGCTTATTGACTGAGTTTCAGATAAATTGGATGGAACTAGAAAATTGTACTTTGAAATTTGCATGTAAAATGTATATATACCACAACTAAATATGTCATAAAAAGAGAAGTCAAATATGAAGGTAAAATTACCAATATCCAATTATTTCTCCAAATTTATACTGTATTGTATTATATTCAATCTTCTTTTATAGGATTTGTAGGTTCAAAGAAAGGTAGACTTGGAAGAAGAGGCCTAGTTCCACCTTTTACAGAAGCCCAGAGAGTTCAAAAGATTTTAATATTTAGGGCTGGAAAGGACCTTTGAGGTTGGTGGTACAGTGGCTAGAATGCTGGGCCTAGAGTCAGAAAGATCTGAGTTCAGATCCAGTCTCGGACACCTCTTAGCTGTGTGTCCCTGGCAAGGCATTTCACTTCCGCTTCAGTTTCCTCATCTGTAAAATGGAGATCAGAATAGTAACTATCTCTCAGTGTTGGTGTAAGGCTCAAATGATATGTAAAGGGCTTTGCAAACCTGAAAGAACTACAGAAATTTTAGCTGTTGTTTTTATATTATTATATAGCCCAACCTCCTCAATTTTTGGATAAAAGAACAGTCTTTGAGAGTTAAAGTAACCTGTTGAAAAATCACACAGATAGCAAATTACAGAGCCAGAATTCTCATCCAGGGCCTGTGCTTCCCACTGTGATCATTGTAAAATAGAACGTTTAGCTACCATGTTTGCGCTCTCTCTTTTTTTTTTTTTGTCATTACTGTTTCATAGAAGAGAAATTCACTTGTTGATTCCTAAATAATTTTTGACCCGTAGAATAACTTTTAATCTAGGTGGAGTCTGATTTAGTAAATCCTTGGGAAGCACGTTTGGGTGCTTCCCTGAGACTGTTAAATGATTTGATACAGGTTATACGTATGCAATCATGCAAAACACATTTTCGTATTAGTCATGTTTTGAAAGAAAACACAGACCAAAAAGAAATCACAAAAAGGTGTACTTTGCCCTGTATTCAGACTTCATGTGTTCTTTCCTTAGGGGAGGATAATCATCCTAAGTCCTTTGGAATCCTATTCGATTGTTACATTGCTGAGAGTAGTTAAGTCGCTCACAGCTGATCATCGTATGATTTTGCTGTTACTGTATACAGTGTTCTTCTGGTTCTGCTCATGAATTCTTTTCTTCTTTACAGCTGGAAAGTAAATTATTCCTTCCTCTCCTAATTTGCTTATGGTGTCACCCATTATGTTGGAACCATGTGCCCATTTTGTCTTTCTCTTGGTACGTGGTATGAGATGTTGGTCTATACCTAGTTTCTGCCATAGTGTTTTCCAGTTCCCAGCAGTTTTGTTAAATAGTGAATTCTTGTCCCAGAAGCTGTTGTCTTTGGGTTTATCAAACACTAGAACACTGTGGTCATCTACTACTGTGTCTTGTATACCTAATCTGTTTCACTGATCTTCCACTCGATTTCTTAGCTAGTACCAAAATAATTTTGATTTGAGATCTCTCACGGCTAGGCTACTACCTTCCTTCACATTTGTTTTCATTAATTTACTTGATTTTCTTGACTTTTGTTCTTCCAGATGCATTTTTTAAATGATTTTTTTCTAGCTCTATAAAAGATTTTTGGTACTTTGATTGGTATGGCGCTTAATAAAATAAGTTAAGTTCTGTAGAATTGTCATTTTTATTACATTGACTCAGCCTGCCTACGGGCAATTAATATTTTCCCACTTGTTTAGATCTGACTTTGTATGAAAGATGTTTTGTGATTGTGTTCATATAGTTCCTGGGTTTGTCTTGGCAAGTAGATTCCCCAGTATTTTATATTGCCTACAGTTATAGGAAATGTACCTTTTAAAAGAAAAAAATGTAACTGAAGGTATACTTTGGTAATGATACCACCTACAAAATTATATTTTATTTTGGAATGTATTTTGTTAAATATTTTAATTTTACTGTTCTTGACATTTTGGGGAGCTTATAATACTTCAAATAAAACCATTGACATATTAAGACTTAACCTAGGAAGCTTCTCTGTACTGTTAACCGATTTTACTTCTCTGACTGAGCCTCCTTTTTCTTCATTTATAATATGACAAGAGTTGTACTGAACCAGACTCGTAGCACTTAGTAGGTATGTGACCGTGGCCAGATTTCTTAAATCCCTTGAGCCACAGTTACCTCATTTGTAAAATGAGCTTAATAACACTTTGAATCGGTAGCGATTGAACAGGACTGTTAGGAGGGTTAGATGAGTAGCCTGTAATGTTCTTTGTAAACCTTCGAGCTCTATGTAAATGGGCGTGGTGGTCTCAAAGGTCTCTTCCACTTCTGAAACATGATGGGCCTGTGCTTTGAGGCAGTATGGTGGTATAGTGTAAAGAGCACTGGTGATTCTAATCATCCAGGGAACAGGTGATAAGGGCATGAAGGAAGGGATGCCATTTTAGTGGAGAAAAGTTATAGAAAGAGGTGGAGAGGTGTAGGATTCAGACAGTTGGGCAGCAATGTAGGCGAGTAGAGGATTATTTAATCAATTAGTAATCTTTTACTAAGCACCTACTGTGTGTGAGGCACTGTGCTAAAGCACTGGGGGTAGGAAAAAGGCAACAGACAGCCCCTGTCCTCAAGGAGCTTACAGTGTAATGAGGGAGACAACAGGCAAACAAATATGTATAAAAGAAGCTTTGTACAGGATAACTTGGAAATCCTTAAGAGAGAGAAGGCACTAGAATTCAAGAGGGATTAGGATTTTCGTTGGGACTTAAAGGAAGCCAGGGAAGCTGCCAGGTGGAGTCAAGGAGGGAGAGAATGCCCGGAGCAAGAGGTGGAAGTGTCTTGTGTGTGCAGCAGTCAAGAGGCCAGGGACCCTGGATCCCAGAGTATGTGATCTTAGGTGATTAGAAGTGATAGTGGTGTCCTCTCGACAAAGAGGGGAGTTCAGAAAGAAAGATGAGTTCTGTTTTGGAAATGTTGACTTGGAGGTATTTATGCAGCATCCAGTTTGAATGTTTGATAGGCAGTTGGTGATGTGGGACTGGAGCTCTTGGGACTAGCCCTGGAGGTATCAGTCTGGGATCAAAGCATCCTAAACTCCAAAAGCTGATGAAGTCACCAGGGGAGAGAATGTAAAGGGAGGAGAGCAGAGGGCCTAGGACGAAGGTTTGGGGAGCCTCTGCTATTGGGGAGTGCTAGAAATAGGCTTTCACAAAAGGAGACTGGAGAAGACCCAGATGAGATGAAAAACCTAGGAGAGAAGAGGAGTCTGCAGTGTCTCACACTGCGGAGACCAAGGCCCTTACCCAAGGATATACAGGTCACAGTGCCAGGTGCCCAGCCAGATCCTCTGCCTCCAGATCCAGCCCAGTTGGGGCCTCAGTGTTCTCACCTGTAAAATGAGAAAGTTGGACTGGATGACCTCTTAGGTCCCTTTTCACAACTAATATTCAGTGCAGCAAACGCTTGTCACCTCTTTCCATGCCATGCCTGAGCATGCACAGTGAGCGCTTAAACAAACGCTTGTCCCCTCTTTCCATGCCATGCCTGAGCGCCTGGCACCACACTGAGTGCTTAAACAAACGCTTGTCGGATTGAATGCTCAGGAGAGATCAGTGGGGGAGAGATGTGAACCAATGGGGGTAAAGAGGTGGGGACAATGACAGTCATCACCCATGTCTTTGTGGAGGGTGTGACATCTGGGTTGCCTTTAAGGAAAATAAGGATTTGGAGGGGCAGAAATAAGGTGTGTGCGCGTGTGCGTGTGCATGTGTGTGTGTGTGTGCGTACATGCATGTGCACGCATGTGCTCGCATGTTTTGAAGGGGTGAAGAGTAGCGAGGTAGGCAGCTGGTGTAAATGCATGGAGACAAGAGAAAAGATGGAAAGTCACATTCAGGTAGTGCTGCAGTTTGCCTGGTCACAGGGTGGGAAGATGAGTGGAGTCTTCTGCTCCGTGTTATGCCAGTTGTGAAGCTTGTTCTTATACCTACCCTTAACTCTCCATGCAGACTCTCAGCCTCTTCCTTTCTAAGCTAGCACAGCCTCTGATGGTAGTTATGGCCCTGCCTAGATGGTCAGTGCCTTTGGGAAGACCTCCCACCCCATCCCTGTGTTACTCCCTCATGGCAGCTAGAGGGGCTCCTTGGAGAGCAGGCTCTGCATCAGGACAGCAGTTAGTGGGTAGGATCCCTACAACTCCCTTTGTTGTTTTGGGCAGGACTGCCTGTCTTATAGTAGGCGCCAGCGTGATTATGATGGTTGTGACCTTTATTGCAGATCTTACCACATTATTTTCTCCCCCAAACTCATTCCTCTTCCAGAATTTTCTCTTATTGTTGATACTCTTTATCCTTTGAGGCATTCTTAGTGGTGTACTTGTAACCTTGGTGCCATCTTTGATTCCTCACTTTTCCTTACCCCACATAGCCATTCCCATAATGCATCTCACTTCCATCCCCCCTTCTCTCCACTCACACTGACACCAAATTTCAGGCCCTCATCACCTCTCAGCTGTGCAGTAGCCTCCTGATTGGCCTCCCAGCCTTGTGTAACCTTTGAAATTATTCATTATACTCAAAGCGCTGGAGAATGATGTTCACCCCTTCACATGGAGTGGAGTTTAGCTGTTTATGATTGAGAACTCCAAAAATATTTATTCCTAAAATGTGTATGCTCTCATTTTTTTTTTCCTGGCAGGTTTATCATGCCCATTCTGATAGTTATGAGACACAGAACCAGCACTATGGAAGAAGTTTAACTAAAGAAACAATCAAAGACGGTAAGGGGGGGGAGGTTGTCTATGATTTAATTGGATTTTATGATATCCCAATTTTTTTTTCAGCCAAAAATAGGGTTTATTAGAACATTGGTCATGTTGGGCAGACTCTTAAGGAGTCTGAGCATCTGTGAGCTATTGGCTAGATTATAACAATCTGAGTAGTAGCTAGATTTTAAGAATCTAAGCACCTTAATGGAGACAAAATGGGCCTTATATACAGAAAGACTGTGGGAGGGATGTAGGAGTGGCCAAGTAGTTTGGGGTGACTGGAGGAGGGGTCTAAGGAAGATCTGAATGGGAGTGGCCAGTAAGCTGGGATGAACAGAACTCTTGGGACCTGGACCACTGGTGGTCAAGGGAAGATTGAGCCTAGCTAGGATTAAGGTTGGGAAATGGCGGAGGCCACTGGGAGGTAAGACAAAGGAGGGGAGATTGGGTGTAGCCACAATGAAAGGCCAATTGATGGGATTATAGACTCAGGTGAATGCCAGAAATTTGGTCACGTGATATTCCCAATATTTTTGAAGCTACTTTACTGTATTATCCCTGCTCAGGTGGGAGTTAGAAGTTATTGTCAAGATGAGTTTACAGCAGATGAGTGTGAGACTTTCAAAAATAAAACATGGAATGGGTAGTGAATGGGAGAATTGAATAAGAAGGGTAGAGGTTTAAATACCAGCTCTGCTGTTTTTAATTGCTGTAAGACCTTGGCCAAGAGAAAATGAGGGCATTTCACCAGGTGACTGCTAAAGTTTCTATTAGCTCTAAACCAATAATCATCATATTTAGTGAGGACACTTCTAATGTACTTTAAGATGTTTTAAGCAGATTTTCTTGTTGGGGGTAGGTACTTCCTCCACTGAAAATTGACACACAATTTTCAGGAGTTTTTGTGGCTGAAAGACTTTCACCCTTTAGCCAACTTGGTAAATAATCTTTTCAACTAACCTTGCCCAACAGAAATGCAGGCTTCATTGGGTCTATTACTTGAAGCCTTTCTCAAATTGGGTAGGGCCTACTAGAGCTTGTGCGTCATGGGCATCACCTTTTGGAGCCCTGGGTTCCAACTATACTACAATGGTGAACCAGAGTAGGACTTTAGAGTGGAGGAACCATATGGTAAAAGTATCTTAAGGGGGTTCTCTCCCCCCTGCCCCGCCCACCTTCTAGTGTCAATGAAGTTAAAGGTGTTTTGTTTTGTTTTTTAAGATAGAAAGTTGTGTTTGCAAGATATGTACGTAAAGATTTTGTGGCAAAAAAAATGTTATGCATATGTAGATTTCCTGATAAATTTTGTTGAGATTTCAATTGTAGCCAAGCCTAAGAAAAATGTGTAGAGTTTGAAGGCGTTTTTGTAAGAATTTTTCTTGTGTGTGCAGGAAACACATATCCATACCTATGACCTTAGAAGTAAGAATCTTGCTTGGTATGTTTGACTACATTTTTTTCCTTTGTACTGCAATAATAATATATTCAGCATAATATTCAGACTAGCTTCTGTTACAATCGTTGGTTAAAATAATCCTCCAAGCTAAATAGCCAATATTCTATGCTTGTTATTTGAATAGTTCATGTTTTAGAATACAGGAGCTACTTAGTCTAAGTTAATGATGAGCACTGTGTGCCCCTTGAATCCCTAACGGGCATGGAAAGGGAACCGTAAAAATCTTTAACCATGGGTTATGAATGACCTACTGAGTCCTGACTTCAAATACTGCACAGGCCCTAAACAACCCTTGAAAGTTAGCTGACCCTTCATGAATACGTAGTGTTGGTTTAGTTAGAATAAAAATAAAGATGGAAATATCTGGAATGTTAACTCCATCTACAAGCATTTATTAAATGTCAGCCATGTACCAGGTACCACATTGAGTGCTGAGGCGCAAAGATACTGACTGGCTTTTACATTCTTTTCATTTGAATTAGATTTGGATGACTAGATACTAAAAAGTAGGGATTTTAGTTTCTTCTAAATGTGAAATAAGCTACTGACCTTCACTCATTGTACTGGAGAAATATCCCTTATAGAGTTTCTCATAATGATGATTGAGATGAAGTCCTCTAGGATAGGAAGACAGTTGAAAGATTGTGAATGGAGCTGTTTCTGTGTTCAACCTCTTTGCCTGTATTTTGTGTGGCTGGGATTCTGACATTTCCCCTTTGCACAAAATACTCTAAAATAGAAAACCATGTTTGAATGTTGTTCGTATTGTTCTCCCTCAAAAGGAAGGGAGCAGAAAAGGGAGGAATGTCGATAGAGTTCTCGGTGATATGTGAGGAGACTCCTCTAAAAAGTGATCAATAGCTTTGTTTATCGTTTCCCTGTAATGATCTTGTTTTCCTCTTGGTAGGAGTGGCCAGATTTTTTCATAATGGTTACTGTTTGAGAAAAGATGCAATTGCTGCCAGCATTCAGAAGATTGAGAAAATTCTTCAGTGGTTTGAAAGCCAGAATCAACTGAACTTTTTTGCCAGTTCCTTACTGTTTGTTTATGAAGGCTCCTCTCTGCCAGCAGCTAACAGATTGAGTGATGGACCTTCAGCAGAGAGGACCTTTTGGGCCAAAGGACAGCTGCCAGATGCCGGCGTGCTTGAATATAACAACAACATTCACTTACTGAGTTCTGCAGAGAATGGAAAAGTGGGGACCTCTGTAGGCAAAGTGTACATGCGTCATAGAGAAGCATATTCCAAGAATCGTCATGGTCAGACTTCATTGAAAGTTGAAAATAGGGAGCAAGGCAACATATGGAAAAGCAGCAATTGTATGTCACAGGAACACTTGAACGGCAACGTTCTCTCTCAACTGGAAAAAGTCTTCTACCACCGTCCCGCAGAGCTCCCTGGTAGTGCAGATGTGGAAGTGCGCATGATCGACTTTGCTCATGTGTTTCCTAGCAACACGAAGGATGAGGGATATGTTTATGGGCTCAAACATCTAATTACTGTACTGCAAAATATTTTAGATAATTAAATTCTTTGCTACGTTCTTTTTATGGGGCCAATGATAATGAAGAGCAGCAATGGATCTCTGCCCTTGTAATGTTATGTAACAGATTTGTATTGTGATTCAACTACATTTTATTTGTCTTTGTACTTTTTGGTAGAAGGGTTCACTTTTTTATACTCTTACTCAGGAAAACTCATTAATAGTTGTTCATTAGAAGACTATGAACAGAGAAGAAGACATAGGAAATGTTAAGCAGGGGATGTGGTGGTGCATGACTTGGTCTGTGCCTCTCGGCCTGAGTTAAATAAAAACTCTTGGGTTTGAAGGATTGGGTTTTAGCTTCCTGTAGCGAATCATCAGTGCATCCCTGTCCACCCAGCCTTGCCATTGAGCCATAGTGAGTAGGAAACACACCGAAGTGTAGAAGGGACAGGTTGATACCCTCAACCTCATCTGTGGCCCCAGACCAAGTTACCGAGCTGAGGAAGTCTGAGTTGATGAAGAAGTAACAACGACGAAGTCTAGATTCTCTCTTCCGTGTTCAGACCAGCCAGTCACAGGTGCTAAGGTGCTTCTTTCTCAAAGTGGATAATATTCTTGTTGCATTTTAAAAAGATAATCCCCTTTATTTCCAAAATAGTTTATTTGAAAGATAACAGCAGACTCCCTAAAAAATGGCTTGGAATCTGAAGGGAATTAATTGTTATTGCCCCAAGTGAAAAAGAAAAATATTTTTCTCTTTTAAGAAAGTCTTACATTTCAGAGATGAATACATTTTTACAGCTTTCTTCTCTGAGAGAATCCAAACTCTTACTCTATGGAGGATTGAAGTTCTGCCCTTTGTAAGTTTTTTATTTTAATGGTGTTTTTACTCTTAGATGCCATTTCGTTTTACCACCATTTGTTTGAGAGAAACCGTGGTACTAAAGTAATGTCTCAGTTTTCATAAGCAAGAACAGCTGTCATTAATATGACTGATTATTCAGAGTAGACTTTTTTTCCTTCAATGTCTTATAATAGGATTCAGTGCTTTTTTCATAAAATCCAACTTTCTACTTTATTGTTATTCAAGCCAGTAGAGTTTAATTATAAGTATATATAGTCTTATATTTCAGAACACATCTCATGATGACTTTCACCTTTAGAATTGAATTTTTTGAGGGAAGATGCCGCTTTGCACACATTCTTAGGTATTTTTATATCGATTGAAAAGTTGGATTCTTAAGTATTTGCTGTAAGTGAACAAGAACAAAAAACTTTCATGATGCCATAATCTTTTTTGGAAATTGTGTACCTGAAACTTTTTTCACCTTCATTTTTGGTAGGGGTAGGGCTACGTTTTGTTGCATTCTTTTGGTTCTAGTCAAGTCAGTCATGATTTGAAAGACTAGTTCATAATGGAAAAATGTCATTGGGAGTTCATTTGAGTTTAGTTTCAGTTTTGCTTAAAGGTGAAAACATGAGGCAGAGCACATCTGAGTTCTGGCTTCAGAGTCAGCTTGTACCTTGCAGACTGTGTAGTCAGGGTTGGTCGAAAATCAGTCAGAACCACGTGGCTTCTTTGTCTTTAAGGCATAGACTGAGTTGAAGGGGAAACGCTGATGATAGTTGGGATTTTTTTTTAATCTTTTCTGTTGCAGTCCACATACTTTTTGTATTTTGATTCATTTCTAAATCTGCCATGTTCCAGGAAAATATTTGCTTGACTGTTGGTTGTTTTTTTGGCCCTTCCTCACAATAGATAGTTTTGAAAAGAGAAAAGTTTTTTAAACAACTGGTAAGGGTGACAGTTATTTATGCTTATAAACCTCAGTCTCTCTGTCTCCGTCTCCATCTCTGTCTCTGTCTCTCTCTCACTTTTCCTTCTTTCTTTAGGTTGGGGGTGGAGGATGATAGCAATGATCTTTCCTAACTCTCAGAGACCAAGATACAAAATGCCTGAGTCTGAAAAAATAGAGCTGCTCTATATGAGTTCATTTTGTGATTGATACCTTAATAAATCCTACAGCATTTTGAAATCTGGTTTCATTTTATAATTTTATAAGCAAGAGAAAAATACAGTTTAGGAGTCAGTTTTGGGAAATGGTCTCAAATCCTCTGATAGCAATAATTGGGCTTTTGTTATTTGTTCTGGTACCACTCATGCCCCCTCCCTTACTCCCAGAATCTCTGTTTTGTACTGCATATACCATGAAGCCAGCAGAATTAGGTGAAATCTTTGGGTTGAAAAAGAAAAGCAAAGAAAAACTAAATCCAAGAAAATTGCCACTTTTTCCCCTTAAGAAAAGCCATTAGTATTATGAGTTCATTAAAACTGAAACACAGAAGATTTAACATTATTTTAAGTCTGATGTAACTATGGCAAGAACCTTTGTGTAGAATAGCATTTGTAAGGGGCAGCTAGGTGGCGCAGTGGGTAAAGCACTGGCCCCGAAGTCAGGAGGAACTGAGTTCAAATCTGGCCTCAGACCAAACACTTGACCTGTACTAGCTGTGTGACCTTGGGCAAGTCACTTAATCCCAGCTGCCTCACTTAAAAAAAAATAGAATAGCATTTGTATATCTACTGTGAGTTTAACACATTTGTGTTATTTGTGGCTTTTTTTTTTGCACATTCTAGATCAGTAGAGTATGGAATAAGCATACCAAAATTGTTTTCACCTGTCATTTCAGGCATATTTTTATGAAATCAGTATCCTATCTTTGGCTAGTGAAATTCAATTTTTACATCAAAGCAATTAAGCTATCTTTTTCAGGGATGGGATTAGTGTTTAATTCTTTTTGTTTACATTTTTACATCTTTGTCATCTAAGTCCCCCCCTTTTAAGTTCCTTCCTTATCTAGTAACTTCATGAATCGGAATAGACCTGGTTAAACAGCTGTCCTGAAGTTTAAAAAACAAACAAACAAGCTACCACAACAAAACCTATCATCATTTGTGATGGGATTTGTGCTAAAGTTAACCACTTTGCGGACTCATGTTCACAGTTAATCAAACATTTAAGTGTATAAGAGTTTTAATTTAAGCAATAAGTATGACAAGGACCTTTTATGTTAACAGGGTTGTCATATCTGTGAAAGGAAGCATTACAAATATTGGTTTTAGCATATTCCCTGTGAATGCAGCCCCTCAGAGGAGTTTCTGAGAATTGTCATAAGTATGTAAATGTTTCTCTAATAAAATTGAAATTGTACAATAGTTTTTATAACAAAGTATTTACATTAATTGGTATTTTTAATATGGATGGAAATTACAGATTGAATCACAGACTATTAAGAAGTTATAAAAATGTTCAATATTTTATCTAAATAGTTTTACAAAAAAACCAACTATGAAAACTTACATATTAAATGGCTTTAACATGGAGCTTGTATTTTCAACCCAGTGTTGGTTAATTGTTATTCATGTACAGAAAGATCTTAATTTTCTTTCTTTTTTTACACGTTACCAGTTTACCATTTTCAGGTTTTAGACTGCGTTCAACAGAGTTAGATATTTTCACCTCTGGGTGGGTTCACCTACAGCTGGGATACAGGTGAATGTTTAAGAGGATTGGCATTACCCCAGGTGCTGACTTGCAAAGTTCTTTTTATGTATTAGGAATATATTTTTAAAAAGATTTTAAAAAGTGGAGGAAAGAAGGTAGAACCATTAAGAGATCTGTTGTCAAATAACAGAGATCTAGTCAATTTTAAAGAGTTGCTATCACTTTGATGGTAGCCTTTTGTCAAAACTTTTGCCATTTTCTGATTTAAAATTTTGTGTGCTTTTCAAATTGTTTACATTGATTTACAATAACCTTCCCTCTGGAGCGCCTTCAACCCTTGATTTGGTACCTTTGTAACTTTATTTATAGAATCTATGACATCCCAGGATGGAGTTTTCAGGAGGCTAGCATGTAAAAAATGTCAGATTTTCAAAAACATGAATCAGCTGAAAAGCTTTATGTGATAATAGAAGTGAAAAGTCACATTAAAGCTTAGCCATCATCTAAGAGAAAGTCATGTTTTTAAAATATGATTATTTTCAGAGACCAAATTTAGTTTGATACTTAGAGGATATGAATTTTTCAAAAATCGTCTTTAAACATATTTGTGTGAAATACAAAATGTATCTAGTATTAGAGTTGAGATGGCTTCTAAAACCTAGTTGGAAATATTTTGTGTTCCTGTTACACAGCAGCATTACCCCTACTCAGTCCCAGAGTTTGTGTAATAACGATTGATGACATCTCAAGGCCTTAAGTTTGCTTATTTCTTGTCCAGATGGTACGTTTCACTTGTAGTGTTCGTTCAGTGAGATAGAAAGTAGAAAAATGTAGTAAAATTACTGTGAAGTACGATTCTATTACATAGCCACAAGCAAAATACTACACATTTTTTTCACATAGAACAATTTAATAATATTATTGTACTGGTATTTATTTTAGATCTTGATCCTATGTTTTCAAAGTGCAAATACTTTGAATATAATGGTGAGGATAAAATTTCTTTTTGAAATGTAGGCAAAATGACTAACTTGTAACATAAACTATTAGTGTTTTGGAAGGGTTGAAGGCTCCTCTTTTTGGAGTCAATGTTAGAATCAGTTATTCCCAATTATTTTGATAGACTCCCTGAGGAGGGATCATACTTAAGTGTTTAAATAGTAATTAACGTGCTTTCAAGTCTTTTCTTTGAAATTTTGTAGTTATTGAGAGTGAGTTTTAATATGGTGTTCACCTGCAGTATGTATTAACAGTTTTAATATGAAGTAAAATATTCTATAATGTATATTGCACCTGCTTATAAAAAGAAAATGGAGTGCACAAAGACACTTTATTATTCCGGGAACTGGACTGGAAAGTGTATGCGAACATGTGAAATTGCACCTAAAGTTTTGTTATTGACTGATGATTATAAAACTGAAGAGCTCAATTGATTGTACTTGAATGAATGTACTTAGTCTGGTCTTAGTCACTTTGATTTCAATGTCTAAATTATGTCTCCTCAAAAATGTGTTTGACTGTAATTCATGCTGTTGGGCTTTGGGGGCCATTACTGGACTGCAGGGTTTGTTGATATGTAACTTGTGTTCGTGATTTTATAGAATCATCTATACCAATTTTATAATTTAAGTGATATTTAGATAATCCTAATAACTGTATATTTGGCAAACTATTAAAATTTTTCAGTGATGTTTCCCCCCCTTGATTTATAGCAAATACCTATTTCTCATTTTATAATAACATAACTTGGTAAGATGTTTGTACTTTGCAGACCTAGCATTTCCCTTATACTTATTTCCTCCTTTGTAGCAGGATTTTGTTTCTTTTTGAAAAATCGCACAAAACTTGGCACCCTGTGTCATTTATGTAGACATTTGTGTATCGCTTGGGAATACATACACCATAGAATGGTAGTCCAGTTGTACTCGAGTTTGAAAAAGCTGTCATTTCAGGATTTTTGCTAAAATTAACCACTGCAGGGACTCATGATCACTGTCTAACATATTTGAGTGTATAAGGGTTTTAATTTCCACAACATGCATGACAAGGACCTTTTATGTGAACAGGACTGTTAGAGTTGTCAAAGGAAGCATTACAGATAATGGTTTTAGCATATTCCCTGTGAGACACACATAGTCAGGGGACTTTCTGAGAATTATGTTAACCATGTAAAAATTTCTCTAATAAAATTGAAATTGTACAGTAGTTTTTATAACAGTATAATATTAGCATCTTTCTGGCATCCCCTTTTGGGACTAGACCCCAGTGTTGGATAGTATGACAAACACACTGTAATAATTTATGTGATTTTTTTTTTTTGGGTAGGCAGTGGGGTTAAGTGACTTGCCCAGGGTCACACAGCTGGTAAGTGTTATGTGTCTGAGGCCGGATTTGAACTCAGGTCCTCCTGAATTCAGGGCCGGTGCTCTATCCACTGCGCCACCTAGCTGCCCCATGATTTTTTTTGAAAACAGTGAATCCTAAGGCCTTTGAAAATGATGTGAGTGTTGGGGGGGGGGATGGCACATTTTAATAAATTAGAATCAGTTTCAGCAATTAAAATTTAAGGTCTAGCCACAACTAAGTATTTTCTTAATTCTTTCTATCCAACTTGTAGTCCCTCCTCTGACATCTAAGATAATTTCCAAAAATTCTTTAACAGGTATTTAGTACCTATTATGTGATTAGTACCTTGCTATTTATTGGAGAAATAAAGATATGTGTGTGTGACCACTCTGCTCTCAAGGAACTTATAGCCTAATTAAATTACGTTTTTAACACTGAAACTGTGATTGGCACAGCTCTGGAAAACCTTTGCTGAGTTTCAGGAATTAGAAGTGAGTATTGGGAAATATTTCCCCTCTCCAAGGGAAGGCTTGTGAGGGGCCATTGACTTAGCCCATTTCCAGTTTGGCTCTTGGGGGGGAAAATCCTCTGGACTGAAACGTCATGGTTGTTGGTCACAGGGGAACAACATAGGTTCAAAAGGAGAGCAGATATTGCAGTTGAGGTCAGAGTCAGATATTCTCAGAAGAGAGATGTCCAGAATGAGTCAGACTACAGTCCTTGTCTACTTGTTCTTACAGCTGCATGTGTAAAGTGAAGACAATGGAAGATTCTCTGTTTTAGCAATGGAAAGCAACAAAGATTCAAATCTTAGAAGTGGAAAACAATGAATCTCCCTTCCTCATTCTCCTCAGTAACGGAAGGGAATAGTGTAGGGGTGTGTGTTGTGCCTTTTTTTTCCAATTGTTTTTCAGTTATGTCTGACTCTTTGTGACCCCATTTGGGGTTTTCTTAGAAGAGATCCTGGAGTGGTTTGCCATTTCCTTCTCCAGCTATAGATGAGGATTCTGAGGCAAACAGGGTGAAATGACTTGCCTGGAGTCACACAAGCTAGTAAGTGTCTGAGGCTGGATTTGAATTCAGGAAGATGAGTCTTCCTGACTCCGGGCCCACTGTTTTAGCCACTGCACCATGTAGGTGTCCTCCACACGCACGCGTGCGCGTGCACACACACACACGTATGT